AGTCGTCCAAGGAAAATGAATTTTTCAATAAATCTCATTCTCAAGGGGAAGCATTATGTGCGACTTTGACCGATTGTACATCTGACAAAAACTGTGCCTCCAAAGAGTGAAACCCACGAATATCTCAAATATCGATCTTGTCACAAGTACAAAGGAGACGCGGCTCTTGCAATCAATGTGTCTGTCTTCGTGGTCGAATTTCGTAATCGAGACACTGCACAGATGCGCACTGGATCCAATTACATTCGTGGTAAATCATCGGGTTGAACCTAACGTCGATCCGTAACCGGATCGTTCCTACTTCGCTCCTTCAACGACTACTGCCGAGCACTAAAAAAATATTCAAGATCAGTGTATTTCCGCGTAAGTACTTGAATTTCAAGTGTTTGTAAATGTGTAGTGTCACGCGCCCCGATCGTCGCCTTTAATTGCTCTTTTTTTAATACGTTCGCTATGGGATATCAATCACTTATTTCGCGTGAAGGCACTTGTAGATAGGAAATATTGATCGTTTGTATAAATTGTGCAAGTTGAAAATGAGTTTCTACAGTTGGTATGATTTAGCAAACAATGCGGTATTATAAATTATAAGATAATTGATCGAAAATTTTTTCTATTTCATATATCTTTACACTGATTATTATAGTATTACTTAAATAAGTGTAATGTTGCTCGAATGTGAATTATAAAATTAGCGCAGTCGAATGTTCGTTTTAAGTATTTATTTCAACATAATTTGAAATAAATAATAGTTTTATATAAATACAAGTTGGATTAGACGTTTTAATTTCGTATCGTATAGATTGAATTTTTCTGCTTATCGAATGCCTATGGAATGTAGTAAAAATGTGAGACTATTGCGTTTGAAAAATTTAGACGCAATGAAAAAAAATGTTTATCAATTCTCAAATAAAATTATTATTGTTCAACTGTTATATTTATATTAGAAAAGCCGGCTGATAATTAATCTTCGTGAACAATTCTATGTATTCTACAGTTTTCACATTTAATTTGCCAAAGAGAAATTTATAATTTCTTTGGTCCGATTAACGATGAAATTTATAATTGGTCATAATTCTCAATTTTCAAAAATATTCCGTTTTTATATTCTTTCTTGCATATAGTCTAATTGCAAAATCTTTTTAATGTTTATGAAAACAATTCAGATAAACAATAACATTAAATATATGAAGATAAACGTACGTAATGAAGAAATGATGACTTCGTCGACGTTACATATTTGATTTATTGATTATTTGAATCGTTTAAAAATTTATTTGTATTGATTTATAACAATCATTTTTTTTTAATTTTTTTTTTATTTTTTTATTTTTAACTCGTGCAGGTTACTGCCTGTTTCAAACGATTCACCGAGGATGTTATTTTAAGTCTTTGAATTGATTTTAATGAAATTTCAATTGACGACTCCGTTCCACATAATCCAATCCAATGAAAGATACAATTGAATAAATTTCTATACTTACAATAATAAAATTCTATCTTAATTAATATATATATATATATATATATTTAATGAATCGTTACGCCAGAATAATCGTTATGATAATTTCTATCTAATTAATTTAATAATTACGTTCGATAAGATAACAATGTTTCGTTTATTTTAAGAGCCGAGAATTGCTAATTGTCCGAATAAAATTTAGTTAAAAATAATCAAAGAACTAATTCTACGACGACAATTTGACTAACTTAGGGGGACTTGAAAAAGCTTTCACACGACTAAAAAACTATTAAAATGTGTTTCTATTAAAATAAAAAACAATTCCCAGTCGCGAAATTTCAGCTTGCCATGCAATTCATCAAGACGACTTTTGGCGACCTTATGCCGAATCCGGGAACCATCAATTTGCTCGTTTTTCCTCTCATCGCACTAAAAAAAGATATATATATATATATTCGTCTTTGGTTCTGGTCAGGCTCTTGCCTCTCTATGTGAATAGCAAGATTCAGCTTCCAAGTCTTTTGGAATATTTGCAGTCGTTCTTGAGCTTATGGCAAAGCAGTCGTGCGGCCCATTAGATAGAAGATAAAAAAAATGGAAGAAGAAGATATGGAAGAATAGGAGGAAGAAGAAAAGGGCATTGATGAAGTGAAAGTTGAAAAATAAGACTTCACTGTTTTCAATCGTAATGAAGCTGCAAATGCGAATTTGAAGCGAATTGGTTTTTTATTTTTTCTCACCATCCAATTCGTTACTCCGCATTTCTTTTCTCGTATAATTATACGCTCCAAAGTGTAAAGGAAATTCAATAATAATACAAGGAATAAGATTTAGAATTACGCCATTGTAATTTTGGTGCAATCAGTATTTAACGTCCAATCGACTAGTTTTAAGGCAACCACGTTGTAATGATTTATGTCATTTACTTTCAACTTTTTTGTTATTCAAATGGGAGGCTCATTTGGATATTTTCTATAAAATTAATTGCTCAATTTTACATTGATGTTAATTGCCCGTGTAAAATGTGGAGAGAAACTTTAGTTTTCTCTCTCCGACAATTATCGAGAGTAAAACAATAAACATCTAATGGTTAATGAAATGGCGATAGCGTTGGTAAACCATACACTTTTCCAATACACTTTTCAAAGCATCTATAATCCACCAATTGATTTACGAACTTGAAAAACTGTGGAAACTTTTTGTCTGGTTCTGGCGGAATTTATGACCCAAGTGAGTAAGGTGTAAATTTAAATCTCGATGTGAGTCATGAATTTCAGCAAGAAGAACCTCCTTTCACATTGAAATTTCAAATTACAAATAGACACTGGCCGTACGTACATTGTACTTTTAAGTCCGCAATATTATAATCCGATAATATCTTCTTTCACTCTTTTTTTTTTTATAGACCCACCAATTTTAATCGTTTAATGTGCGTAAGAGCCATTATTATCCCAGTATTAATGGAAGAAATGAGATCAAGTGCCGGAGAGTGTCGCGGAGACTAGCGTGGCAATAAAAGTTAAGTGCGTGTTTATTGGTGGGAGCGAGATAGCGATGCTAGTGGCGAGCAATAGTAGCCGCCGAGACTTAACGGAAGTCTACGTGGGGACTAATATATTGGGAGACTCCCGCAACCCAGGTCTTTTAAAGGGTTGAATATGATTGAAAAAAAAAGAAAAAAAGTTGTACACCCGAGGTTTAAGCGTAGGATACACTTTCCCCGTAACTCCCGCGCCGCACATTTCCAACTCGAATTCCACAAGTCTTTTATCGGGATTGATTTATTAATTGACCCGGCGGAGTCATTGATGACGCCCTCGTTGGGACGTCTCCACGTTGCACCGTGCTAACCACTACCGAACATTAGCTCTCGTCATCGCGGTCGGGCGGGGGAGGGCGAGGGGGAGGGGGAGGGAGAGGGGGGGGGGGGGGGGG